AGTCCCCCAGCAGTTCTGTCCCAGGAGTCCAGATTCAGCCGCTGTTGAAACCGATCAGCGGCTGATTCCAGGAAGCCAGGGGCAGAGCAACTCTGCCTAGGGCTTCCTGTAGTCAGCCGCTGATCAGTTTCAGCAGCGGCTGAATCTGGAGCCAGTTCCGACTTACATACAAATTCAACTTAAGAACAAACCTATAGTCCCTATCTTGTACGTAACCCGGGGATTGCCTGTATACACACACTGCTTTTTTTGTTTAAAAAAAAAAGGTGCTGGAACTGGATTCCAGATGGCAAGTTTTTGAGCAAAAAAACAAAAAAAAGCCAGGAAAAATTGTCCAACATCAACAACAAAAAGATTTTATATATGTATATATATATTCTTTCTCCTTTGAGTCCTCTCTGCACTCCACAAGAATGATGCAACCAACCTGCACTGCCACCAAAGTGCAGCAGTTTCCAGGGCCAGATTTAAAGTAGTGCAGGATCCTTGTGGCGATGTATGCAGAAAAAAGTGCAGACAACTGGGCTGTGTCTACACTGGCCACTTATTCTGGAAAATCAGCCGCTTTTCCGGAATAACTTGCCAGCTGTCTACACTCGCCCCTTGAATTTCCGGAAAAGCACTGACGATCTAATGTAAAATCATCAGTGCTTTTCCGGAAAAGCACTGACGATCTAATGTAAAATCATCAGTGCTTTTCCGGAAAAGCACTGACGATCTAATGTAAAATCATCAGTGCTTTTCCGGAAAAGCACTGACGATCTAATGTAAAATCATCAGTGCTTTTCCGGAAAAGCACTGACGATCTAATGTAAAATCATCAGTGCTTTTCCGGAAAAGCATCCTGCCAATGTAGACGCGCTTCTCCCGGAAATACTTATAATGGAAAACTTTTCCGTTTTAAGCATTTCCGGAAAAGGGAGCCTGTGTAGATGTAGCCCTGGAACTTTGAGTCCAGCAGAGTAGCAGGTTGAAGCAAAGCACACAACTGATTGCTGTTCAGCAGCCAAATGCTAATTAATGCTGGATTTCCACACTGTAAAGTCAGGTTATGGTCTTGGAATGGAGGATACAAACATCTTGTTTAGTTTGGAGCAATGTCTATGTTGGGGTGTGACACTGGAACAGACAGTCTGAGAGGCAAATGTAAATTTAGTCTAATCCACACAAGCACCAAAAGGGGGTGTGAAAGTTGAGATATCCTCCTGGTTCTGAGCCAGTCCAATAATTGCAAGTGTTGGTCTGAAAGTATCTAGAACATAATTCTTCAGAAGAAAGACATCTATGTGTTAAGCTCTTGAGCAATAAAAAATATCATTCAAAGCTTTGTTTTTGGTAAAGAAATTGGCATTGTTAGTACTGTGTGTGAAGAAGTAAAGCAAGATAACTTTAACTCCCAGAAAATATCTTTTCAACCATTTTCTGTTTTGAACTGCACTCAGGAAATTCTGTTAACAAGCTCAGCAAAGACCCACTGAGAGTCATACATCAGACCTTGGAAGAATCCACTGATTGGCTTTATGGCTTTATTTCTTTCCTGTCTGACATCGTTTCAACTGATGATGATGACAGCGATGAAGGTATTTCCTATACATAGACTTGTATAACTGTGCCAATTCATGTTTTACATGCATTATGTGGATTTACTTAATGTTTAACCTCACAGTCAAAGGAGGAAAGTGAATAGAAGTGATTACCCTTGCTAGTAATGAATCAGCTGGCTACTAGAATTAGAAACTGATGTCTTTGTTACCTTTCATCTTTCATTTCATAGGCAATTACAGAAAACATGTCAGAATTAAATGTTCCTAGTGGTGTGTCTTAAAGCAGAGTGCTAATTTATGCTGAGATGAAGTATTTGAGAATAAAAACAGATATTCAACAGTTTCTCTCTATCCTGTAAAAATGGAAGGATTTAGAAAAATGAAGGAATTAAATATACAGATGTAATCTAGAGGCACTGAGACTACTTACAAAGAATAGTGAAGTTTGCTCTACAGCTTTATCTGAGAGCTGGGTTTTAGCTCAGGCTATAGAGGCCATGACTTTAGCCCCCTAAGTTTGCAGGTTCAATTGCCACTTCTGACAACTGCTGTACATTGGCTCTATGTATAGGGGCTCATCAGTATACACTGGGACCACTGACAAGGAAGAGTGACGTCTGCTCTACAAGCTTAGCTAACCACACATTGGTTTTTAGCTCATGCTGTAGAGGCACACAGCTTTAGCCCCAAAGGTACAGGTTTGATTCTTCTTGCTGAGTTCCTGGAAACATCTCTACATAGGCAAAACATAAGAAATCTAAGACAGCACTTCTACGTGATATTTGAACAGTAGGGGTCAGTATTGCTGGAAAAGTACTAAAGGAACTAAAGAGAAAGTTGGATAACAAACATCAATTTTGGATAGCAAACATCAATAACTAAAATGTATGGTCTTGGAACTGCGACTAATATGCATCACCTGATGGAGCTGTCAGATACATTAAACCAAATAACTAACAGTTAGTCTTTATTTTTAACAGCTTTTGAAAGAATCATCTTTTTGTTAACAGATAATCAGTTCAATAGTATGTGGTGTGGTAATAGATGCACAAGCACTTAATGTTATGTTTATCATTCTGCATGCATATATGGAGTTAGGCATGACTATCATAGTAGTACCGTACCATATTCATATTGCTCTGCGTAGAATTTCATCATAACACAAATGGTTAAAACCCAGCAGGAACTTAAACAATCTTTCACCCATATCTTCATCAACTACAAGTATCACCTAATTTCTGCAACTGCAGGATGTCTCCATGGGTTTTCATATTAGTATTGTGAACAAACACTAACAGATATACTCTTATATATGGTGATATGACCCAATTCTAAGATATGATTTCCAACCACCATAAGACCAGCTCTCCATACTGTCGGGAAATAAAAAGGAAGTAGAAAGTGGTTTCCTTCTCTACATTTTTAAATTGTGCTGATGGTCAGGAACCATGCAACAAAGGAACATGTTTATGAGAGTGGATGGGGGCAGAATGGACAAATCTATAAGAAGGTTTGAAAGGATCATAAAATGGAATAGCCTATACCAGTTACTGCATAGAAAATTAAATCCCTAATATTGCAAGGTTCTGAATGCCTTCTGGGAAGTCCTCAGCAACTCTAGCTCCATTGACTGTACTCAGAGTGGAACACATTCAGCACCACTCAAGTATCACAGGAGGGACTCAGCACCTCATAGTATTAGGCCCTAAAAATCTAGGATATGGATCAGCTCAGATTTGGAAACCTCTATCCGTAGCACTTTTTCGGGCAGAAGTTGAGGCTGCACTAAACTCTTCTTTGCAATGCTAGAAGCCATGTCACAAGTGAAGGCACAGTATCAGATTTTGGCATTCAGCTTTTCCTGCTCTCACTGATGGGACTTTTGCCACTGACATCACTGAGAGCATTATTAGGGTTCTTTTTTTCTGAACTTTGCAAGAAGTGTTTGTTCATTTGGAATATTTTCTTGTTGGTCAATGAAAATATAATACTGTGCCCTTTGTTAAAATTTTGGACTCAGGTTTATAACTAAACAAACCCCACCCACATGTCAGTATCTGGTCACATCTTTAACTATCATTTCTGAAACTTTTTGGTGCCTACAGTACATTTAAGACATCTGCTCTTTCTCTTAAAAAGTCCACGTGGAATCAGAAGTGGGAGGTGTAAGTCTGAAATCTCAGAATAGAATTCCTGTTACTCAACATGTTAAGCATAAATTTTTGAATGCATTTAAAAATAAAAATAAACTAGGATGAAAAAAATATGGCAATTCTACCAGTTATCTGATTGTTATGTTTTTCCCATCTTGGTTTAGGTGAAGTGGAACCTCCACTGAAGAAAAAAGGTTGGTTTTGATTGTTATAAATAATGCAGGATTTGATGTATTCAATTTAATTATTATTATTTTCAGTGATCTACTTTGTTTATACTACTGGTTTTGCCACTAATTGCTTGTCCTTCTACTAACTGTGTATGCTGCATGTAAATTGGAATTGTTAGGAATGTCCAATTATAATAAAGTTTGAAGTGAGCTTTCGTGGGCACAAACCACTTCTTCAGATGAATGGAGTTAAGCCACATCCTGGTATGCACGGCTGCTGCTCCTCCTCCTCTCCCAAAATGGCTCCCTTGTGCAGTAGTCCTGCCTTAGGAATCTTTTTCCATTTTATATGTGTGTAACTGATTGTTCCTTCTTAAGTGGAATACTTTTGCATTTGTCCTTATTGAATTTCATCTTGTTTAGTTCAGACCATTTTTCATCTTGTTTAGTTCAGACCGCTATATTTCTCCAGATCATTCTGAATTTTAATCATTGTGCAAAACTCTTGAAACCCCTCCCAGCTTGGTATTATCCACAAACTTTATAAGTGTACTGTCGATGCCATTATCTAAATCACTTATAAAGATATTAAACAGAACCAGATCCAGAACCAAACCCTGCAGTAACCCACTTGTTATGCCCTTCCAGCTTGAGTATGAACCACTGGTAACTATTCTCTGGGAACAGTTTGACAGCTAGTTATGCACCCATCTAATAGTAGCTCCATCTAGGCTATATGTCCCTAGTTTGTTAATGAGACGGTTATGTGATACAGTATCAAATGCCTTCCTAAAGACAAGACATACTATATATATATATCCCCCCTCCTCTCCACAAAGCCTGTCAAAGAAAGCTATGAGGTTTGTTTGACATTATTTCTTTTTTAACAAATTCACATTCATTGTTACTTATCACACTATCTTCTAGGTGTTTGCAAATTCATTACTTGATTATTTGCTCCATTATCTTTCTGGATATAGAAATTAAGATGACAACTATAGTTCCCTGGGTTATCCTTATTTCCCTTTTTTAGTAGATGGACACTATGTTTTTCTTCTATCTGTCCTCTGGAATCTCTGCTGTTTTCCGTGAATTTTTAAAGATACTCACTAATGGCTCACATATCTCCTCAGTGGGCTCCTTGATTATTCTTTAATTCTGAAGTCTATCAGCCTGTGTATTTTTGTGCACTAACAGTCTACTCAAAATTCCCACTCTCTTGGAAGTACCATAATTGCAAACACACTAAAAGTTAGTTGATCTCACAATACAGTTATTTATTGAGAAAATGTTCAAGGGAATGGTAAGGACATCACAGTAATGATAAGGGAAGAAGAAGAAGAAAGGAAGACTAATAATGATAATTATGAATCTGAAGAAAGCAAAGATAACCTTGCCGGGGATGCAAATTGCAGAAAAAGATAATAGGGATACAAATAATGACAATGAAGGTGGTTCATGTAACAAGACTAATATTGGTGTCAGTAGTCACTAGAAAGGATAAGAATGCTTATCATAGTGTGGGCTTTACCAAAATTAATTTCTTCACCCTCAGCATTATCACTGATATTTATCTTTATTCACTGGGAAAGACTGAGCATTTTATATTGTGCAGAAAAATATAATTGTAAACCTCTGGGGACATAGTGAAAAAATATTCTATAAAGAGCTTTACAGCATTTAACAATGTGTACTCATTGCTTGCTAAAATTGCTATTCAAAAGTCTAAAAACTCTTCAAAAATCTAATAATTTCTAACAGACTTAATATGTTTTAGCTTTCTTTTTTTTTCCTGAATCAATGGTTATTATAGTTGATCATGTTGATTAATGTTTCATGGTTAGTAAAACATTTAAGGACAAATCATTTTATTTGACAGCTGCATGTTTAGTTTTTTATGTGTTTCTTTTATTACATTTTTTGTTATAATAGGAACTTTTTATTTATCACATCTTATATGCCTCTGCAGACTAAATACCATATTACAGTGGGTTTATATGAGAATAATTAGGAGGGAAGCGAAATGAGACTGACAATCTTTTGAATCATTGGGTTGGGGAAGAAAATGTCCCAAAATCAGAAGTAACATTAGATGTGTCCAAATTAAAGTTGCAGAAGTTTTACACCAGTGTTTATGGCAGTAGTAAATATTGCTAGTAGCAATGCTATTACTCTACAGCATTTTGGAATTGTAGAATAGACTAATATTTTACATAAGACTAATTTTAAGTTAATTGCTTAAATATATAAATTAGTGATATGTACACATTCATATTTTAAAATATGGAAGTTATTCTCAACCTTCGGAATTCAGGACATGCTTCAAAGGCCATTGAAATCAGTTGGTCTTAAATCAGGGCTTATTTTATTTCTCACAGTTCAAACTTGGTCAGACTTTGGTTTTTAACTTAACATTCTTCCTTTGTTTTAGCTGAAATTCACCCTGTGACCAAAAAAAAAGGTGAGTGAATTTCAAAGCAATTTTATTTTAATTAAAAAATGAGCTTAATAATAAAGATGTTAGAAATATCTATGCAAGTAAAGTGTTGACATGGCAGAAGATGCTGAACACTGTCTGACTATTATTTAGTAGGCTTTTATTGGTATAACATATGTTGACACAGATAAAACATGGGATTTCTGAAACACACAGTAGCACTCAGATATACTGCAGTGATGGAGGCTACATATACACCTAAACAGATCCATAAATGGAAGTGATATCATATAGGGCTTGAGCCTATTGTTCTTATGCAGTAACAAGTCACATTAACTCTGTCTTTCTAAAAATTAAATCACATTTTACCTAGAAAATTACAGAATAGAAATACTATATAGTCTATGCAGGGATTTCCACCCTCCCTGTGCCTTAGTCATGTTGCTTCGTCATAGCAGTGAAGCAAAAAAAAATCAGAATTTTCTGCTGCAAATTGGGAAAAGCTAGCCCAATTATACTGCTGAAAAAAACTCCTTGGTAACCAGCTTGGTCGGAATTCTCCACATTCAAATGAGTTAATGAAATAATACTTTTTTTGGGAGGATGGGACAGAAGGATGGGACAGAACGATGTGCTGTCTAAGTGCAGCCTGTGTCCCCACCCCCCTGCCCTACACACACACTTTATGAATTGCAAGATCAAGAGCCACAAGTACAATATACAAATATGAGTAGGTGAGTGAAATAATGATGTCATTTGATTGTGATCAGCTACTTTTTGCATCAAGATTTGAAAGTGGACATTTTTGCATATTTTATTTTTTTTCTCAGCATTTATAACTGATAGTTATATTCTTTTGTTGTTCCCTCTTCTAAGACCTTATCCACATTAAAAAAAAACAAATGTGTTGCTTTAACTATACTATTTAAAGTGGAAATCCCTTCCTGCATTGTGGAATCATTTATAAGTGATCAAAGTGCTGTATGAGTATAGCTTATTGCAGTTCAGGAAGCATAACAATCTGTACTAGTTTAAGGCATCTTTATGTCAATATAAATTCATCCACATTAGAGCTCATACTGGTAAAAATTCACAGTGTGCTGACCAATTTATTTATCGTGGTATAACTTTTCTAGTATAGACTTTTGAGATTAAGACCATAGGTTTTTATGTCATATAATCACTTCTTTAAAAAGTTATCCAGTAACTCACCATGAAGAATATTGAGTTATGGGCAAGTATCCTTTGGATGATCATCATGTTCCATACATAGATCAGAAAATAAAAAATATATTTTTAAACCCACATTTGTTCCTCAAGCTGCAAAGAGACTGGAAAAGCAAATATTTTAATAGCATAAATGCAACCTGAAAAACATGGCCCTCTATTGAATTTTCTTACATGCCTGATTATTGTGATTTGGGAAATTAATTATTTTATTCACTCATCTCTAGAATATATGCTTATTTTCATCTTTAGTGTTTTCAAACATCAGCTGACTTGTTTTTCATATCTCCATATAGAAATGTTCATTTTTCAGTGTATGAGTTCTTGCTACCCAGCTCTGTAAACTTTTCTGTTTCTCCCTAAGCTTCTTCTCACTTGTACAGTATTTTGTAAATCTTTGTGCAAGGAGCAATGTGTTTAAACAAAATCTTCAGAACTGAGTGAATGCCCAAAATACAAAAATCTACTTCCCAAATTTGTTTTTATTTGTTTTTGTTACCATCAATGTCTGTTATTAATGTTCTTTTGACATTTCCATCTTGCTTTTTATTCTGATCAACATAGCAATAACATATCCCATAAAGTTTGTTTACAGCCACCAGTCCTGGCTGTCAGTGTTCTGTGCTGTTATTTAGCTCTAATTTACCTTTAAAAGTTTTCTAAGAGCCCAGTAAGCAGTGGAAATGTTGGTAATGCTGATAGACAATATTGACCTCCCATGGTCCAGCAAACTCTCTGGTTTGGCACCAGTCAGATGCCCAGGATACTGGCCTAGAGAGATTCAACCTGTAGCACATGGGGTTTCAGAGCCTTTAGCTTCTCTCCAGTGTAGAGTGTCATGGTCCAAATGATGACACTGAGCTTTTTTAATTTGTGCTCTTGACACAGCAGAAAGAGCAAAAGTCCTCCTACCCACCTAGTCTGCCACAGAATAGCAGAGCTTATTGCTGTTTAAAAAGGAAGGGGATTTTGTGAATCTGATCTCTTTGCTTCTCGGGGTCCATTCTGCCATAGCTGAAATGAAGCAAGCCTGACAAACTGGAGTTAAGCAGATATGTCTTGTCCTTGCCACAAGAATCACAGGTGCTTCCTTCTGCTCAAAACTTTCACTGAGGAAGTCTGAGGTCTTGTATTTTTTACAGCAGTTCTTCTTCTCCTCCTTCTGTTGATTTCAGGCATGGGGGAGGAGAGTGGCTAGCAGTCTCTTTTATTACTTCCCAAATTTGAGTAATCCAGAATGCACAGTATAAATGTTGACTCTATCCTGTGCATCAAGCCCCAAGAATGAGGTACATGCATCTAATAATAGTGGTGTGTTTACTCTGACTTTCCAATTGAGAGCATGTCTACACTACAATATTAGGTTAATTTTATTTAATTCAACTTTCAGCATTTGATTTAACAAATCCAATTTTGCATGTCTCTACAAGTTGTCTGTGGTTGACTGGGCACATTCTCACTGCCAGGGGTTACATCAACTCAAGAAGTGATGCACTGTGGGTAGCTATCTCACAGTCCCTGAAATAGTTTGGAATTCTGGGTTACGGTCCCAATGCCTCATGGGATGAAAACATTGTTGAACAGTAATGGGTGAATGTCTTCACCCTCCCATGTCTATGGCTCAGAAACAGCCTTGTCCTGTCGTATTTTCATAAGGCATCTGTCATGCCCTGTGTGATTTTGGCATAGATAGCAGTATTTCTTTCACTGGTTCAGAGCTCTGATTACA